GAATATTTGGGTAAAAGAATGCCAGATGAAGTAGTGATTCTTTTGGCCAAAACCTCAAGTCCCATACAGAGCCCCATAACCTCTGGGAAGACTGAGAAATGATCTAGTAAGGAATTTTACTAAGAATTATGAGGTCAGTTTATCAAGGAAGCAAAGACATTGTTTCTATTTACTTTGCTCAATGAGCTACATGTATCTGAAAATTATTCTGACATTTGCAAGTTCTTATGTATTTACTTACTTAACTTTTTAACAGACAGGTGAAAAAAATCTGCTGACATTTTAATTGAGATGTCTCCAGCCATAAGCAGAGTCATTCTCAGAAGCCTCTTCCCTTGTCTCTGTAATTAGGGATGTGGTTTTTACCTCTGCTCCAAGGGAAGTCAGTTCTTCCTAATCACCCACACCAGGAACAGTTACAGTCTTCCCAGGTCACTGAACCTCCCATTTCCCATAGAAATCACTTCTCTGGCGCTCTCTCTTTGTCTCTCTGTCTTTTTTAAATTCATTTCTAATATTATGCTGCCATTTTTTTCTTTCCCAATCTAATCTCATTAAAATAATTAAAATACCTTCTACCTGCTTGGTACAGTGTCTAATAAAAAATTAATTCCACTTTTTTAAAACTTTGTATTGACTTATAAATACAGTGGGTGATCGTAAGTGTACAATTTAATGACTTTTATTATCTGCTGTTCTTATTTTGTTTTTTGTTTTTTTTGTTTGTTTGTTTTTTTATCCTCACCCGAGGACATTTTTGCATCTATTTTCAGGTAGAGTGGGAAGGAGAGAGGGAGGAAGAGAGAGAGAGAAACATCGAAGAGAGAGAGACACATTGAGTGGTCACCATCCACACGACCCCAACCAGGGCCGGGGACAAACTGCGACTAAGGCACATGCCCTTAGCGGAAACCGATCCCGGGACTCTCTGGTCTGCAGGCTGACGCTCATACCGCTGAGCTAAACGGACCAGGGCAGCTTTGCTCATTTTGAACTTGATATCAGTAGAACTGTGACTCCTTCATGGTACTTCATTTACTCAATATGATGTCTGTGAAATTCATCCATGTCGTGTGCATCAGAACTTCTTTCTTTTTCTTGTTCTGTAGTATTCTATTGTATGAAAGCACAACATTTATTTATCTCTCTCCTGTTGATGTACTTTTAGATGTTTCCAGTTTGGGACTCTATTGTCAATTTTTATTTTCATTCAGTTCAAAATATTTCTTGATGTTGGTTGTAATTTCTTATTTGACTCACATGTGTTATTCAGAAATATGTTGTTCAATTTCCAAACATCTGGGAATTTTAAAGTTACCATTCTGTTAACTTCTAATGTAATTATAATGTCATCATACTTTATGTTGCATAATGCAGTCAATTTAGGTAAATATTTTATGTGTACTTGAAAAGAATTTAAATCATGCAGTTTGGGGCAGATTTTAGTTTTTATTTTTTTCTTTATTAATTTTAGGGAGAGGGAAAGGGAAAAGGAGAAAGAGATAGAAACATCGATAAGAGAAAACATTGATTGGCTGCCTCCTGCATGCCCCCCACTGGGGATTGGGCCCACAACCTGGGCATGTGTCCTGACCAGGAATTGAACTGGTGACCTCTTGGTGTATGGGTCAACGCTCAACCACTGAGCCACACCAGCTGGGAGGGGCAGATTTTCTATGTTTGTTAACTAGAGCAATTTAGTTAAGGAGGCTGTTCAAATTTCCTGCATTCTTAGTGATTTTTTTTTTTTGTTATTGTTTTTGTATTCTTGTCTTAGTTAATGAGAAAGGTGTGTTAAAATCTCCAACGATGAGAATGGATTTAAGTTCTATCAATTTTGCTTTATAACTTGGAAGCTATGCCCTGGCCAGTTTGGCTCAGCGGTTAGAGCGTCGGCCTGCGGTCTGGAGAGACCCGGGTTCGGTTCCCACTAAGGGCACATACTTCGGTTGCAGTTTGTCCCCGGCCCTGGTTGGTCGTGCGGGTGGCAGCCACTCGATGTGTCCCTTCACGTCGATGTTTCTCTCTCTCTCTCCTTCCTCTCTCTCCCTCCCACTCTATCTGTACAAAAAATGGAAAATTGTCCTCGGGTGAGGATAAAAAAATAAAATAAAATAACTTGGAAGCTATGTTTATAGGTGCACAAAAATTTAGGATTGTTGTCTTTGTGTTGATCTTTTAGCTTATGAGATGACCTTTTTCACATATTTCTTTTCTTACACTCTATTTTGTCTGATATTAATATAACCATACCAATTTTTTGTTAGTCTTTGCATGAAATATGTTCCCCATTTTCTCTTTTTAATCTATCTGCTTCTTTTAATTAATTAATTAATATTTGCTTTTCTATATTTAAAATGTGTCTCTTATAAACAACATATAGTGGGTCTTCTTTTATTATTCTAGTCTGACAATCTTTGCTTTCAATCACACTATTAAGGCCATTTACATTTAATGTAATTACTATATAACTGAGTTAAAGTTCATAATGTTGCTATTTGTTTTCCATCTATTCTGATTTTTGTTCTTTTTTTTTTTTACTTAACATTGTATCACAGAATGTCCCATGTGTCTACCTTGACTTCATGCATTTTGTTTTTCATGGCTCCTCAATTGCCCTTTGTTTTATGTTTCACATCTTATTGCACCATTAACTATCATTTCATTCTTTCAATGACTTTGCTGTTACAGGTAATGCTACACTGAACATCTTTATATACCTCACTTTCTACTTTTCATATTATTTCCTTAGGGTATGTTTCCAAATGTGAAATTACTGATTTAAGGAATGAAAACATCTTTATAATGTTTTATATAATTTGTTGCCTTGCTTTCCCTAAAGAATTGTTCCAATTTATAAGCTTATTAGTATGTAGCTATAGTGATTTCATTGCATCCTTGCTAGCATTGTGAGTTTCTCTTTTAATAAAAACATTATTGTATAAAAATAATGAAAAGGAATCAAAACTATGATTACCAATGTCATTGCTGAGGGTAAGTAAACAGAACTAGGGAAAGTTATTTATGAATGTCATTTCTGCTATAAACTGGACTAAAATTCCTAACTCTTCTGCATCTGTTTTGCACACACTTGGGCTTTGGCAGTAAGCCCCCCATAAATCACTTAGTAAAAGAATTATATTTATGACATATTTTATTTGAGTCTAATAAAACTATAAATGAGTAAATTCACAAATAAAACCAAAACAGGTTTATAGAATCAAAAAGAAGATTAGGGAGAAAGAATAGCAACCAAAAATACATTTAAAAGCAAAATGAACACATGCTTCTAAGTAACATTTAAACCTTAGCGTGAATAATCTCAAAATACAGCGGCTGCATCACTCAGCTTAATGAACGTGTTTTCTCAGGTGGGTGCTGGTGCTGAGGAACAGTGGAAAGGAACTCTTAAAATTGTAATTACTTTGCAGAGCACTTAAGGGGACACTATCTCCTTTAAGTGTAAGTACCAATGTAAGGCAATAGTTCTACTTTATTTATTTATTTATTTGTAGAGAAGTAAATGTGGATTCCCTTTGAGGTGAGATGATTCACCTAAGTTCACATAACTGATAACTAGTAGGCCAGTGAGTCAAGTTTACATTTTTGCTTCTTAAGCCTGTGACCTCTCCACTATGTTTAAGGATTACTTTCAACAACTGTTATTAAAATCTTGATCTACCACAGAGTTCTTTATTAGAAAAACATAATGGAAATACCCATACTGAAGATGAAAACTTTTCCAAAGAATAAAGCCAAGAGATTTATTATAACATGATCCAAACTGACATAAAACTCAGAAGATCCCATTTTTTGAAAGTGCTATAGAAATTCAGTAAACACCTATTTTCTTGACATTATAGCTCTGCAATCTAGACACAGGAGTTTAGAGTCAGAAAAAAAACAAAAACAGAAAAATAATAGTGGAACCTAATGTCATAGTATAGTAACACTGTCATTTATAATAACCATCCTTTTGGGTCTTCCAAATACACACAAAAAAATCTAGCTTTTCTTAATTGGAAAAATTTGACAGGTAACATTGTGTCAATTTAAGGTGTAGCATGTTACTTCAATATATTTATATGTTATAATATGGTTGCCAATGTAATGATATTGATCACATTACTTATAATGCAATATTTTTTATTGTCTATGTTCATTAAATCTCTATGGCTATGAACTTACTACAAGTTCATACCTTTAGATACCATTACTCTTATTCCCCCACCCCCAATCCCCTGGTGACCACCATTTTATTGCCTGAAAAATCTAGATTTTGAAATTTTTAAAAAATGCTGTGAATCTCCATTGTAGATGATAGAACCTATAAATTTGCTTTAAATAAACAAATATATTATTTGGAGATATTTGTTTTCCCCTAAAATCACATCTTAAGTCTTTATTCAATTTATGACAAATATTAACTAACCTGCTACTAAAAGTAGAACTATTTCAGCATGTCACTGTCCGGGTAAATGTCTTTAAGCTCTGTTTTGAAAGTCTTTCATGTCCACAGATAATCTCCTAATTTAGATCATCCTACCTGTTCAGAAAGCAATATAGTTATTAATACTGTCAATTTTTCTCAATCCTGTCACTATTAAACAAAACTGAATTTGAATAAAGCTAGATATTAAGTGTGGATCATATTCTGTCGTGATTTTACCATCTCCCTCCAGTAAATTCTTATTAACAATTTTTTAAAAACATAAAGAAAGTAGAACCGGTCCAAAGCATGACGTATTTTATAAAATTACGTGGTGACTCTTACGAGTATTTAGAACCAAATAATTCTGACCCTTTCTTGCTTCTCCTGCCTAATGTCCTTTTTGTATTCTAACAGCTGACGGCTATAAGCCATCAATCTGACCCAACCAGCCAAAGCCAGATTTCTCTTCGCATCAACACCCCCGCATCTAAAGTCTATGTTTCTTGGTATAAAATGATATGTTTATGTGAAAAAAGAAAAGTAGAGTGGTCTTTTATTTTCTCTCCAGGAGGTGTTTGGTTACCAGACCCAGAATCTACGCAGAGCCTTCTGCCTCACAGGGTCTGTGCTGACCTGTGGGATCCTTCCGCTGTTATTCTACTGGAGGCCGCACTGGAGGGTGTGGGCCACCTGCATCCCGTGCCCCTTGGAAGAAGCAGACACTGTTTTGCTAAGGACAACGGTGCGTGTCTTATTGTGTTGCATTGTGGCACAACCAATCACTGGCTAGCATTCTAGAGGGGAGAGCTTCCTTTATTTAAATAATTTTCCTGTCCCAAAATAGGAGATGACAAAACTACCTTTGCAATCTATTTGCCATCTCTTATTTTAACCCAGGAATGAAGGACATTTCTTTCATATCAGACGGGAAATTTGTACGATGTCAGGCTAGTTGGCAATGCTCTTAGCCATTGTATGAACAGTGGTAGTCAGTGTTACAACTCTTAGAATAATGGGGCATGATCGTTCCATTTTCAAAGATATGTATTTTGAGGTTAATTAGACCTTTTATATATTTAGATGTGATTTTAAGACAGCCAAAATTTATTTTCTGAATGTAAAATTTTCCTGAAAAGTGTATTTTTCTCTTTATTCTCCTACACAGTGGTTCTCAAATTTTAGTGCAAATCAGAATCACCTGGCGGGCTTTTCGAAACACAGACCACTGGCCTGAACCCCAGAATGTCCAGTTCAGTAGGTCTGGGGTAGGGCTGAGAATTTGCATTTCTAGCAAGTTCCAAGATAAAGCTGATGCTCTTTTCTGGAAACCATTGGTTTAGCACTTAGGAAGTATTTGGTTGACAGAGTGACTAATGGAATAACATTAGAGAATTCACAGGTTGGATTGTCATTTTTAGGATGAATTTCAAAGATATGTGAGGAAGAAGGTGATCTGCCTGTACTTATCCACACTAAAATTTTCTATCAGCAAGAACCCGGAACTGCCCGTTGTAGCGGATCCCCACTCGGTCATAAACCAAGCCGTACTGAAACCAGAGTTAAAAGTGAGTGATTTTAAGAGTACATTGTTGTGGTATGTTTTCCCTCGGAAAAAGGTAATGTAAGTGTTTATTAGGTGAAAGTTTGAATGTCACACTGCTGGATTGGAAATTACAGCCATGTATTAAGGAAAGCAAGCGCTGTGTGGGAACCCACATTAAACAACCCTCCCCTTCCCTGATGAGCTTTACTTTGTGAGTGACATATGTCCCACCGCACTTGTCATTGCAGCTACGATGTATCCAAGTGCAGAAGATCAGGTATGTTTGGGACAACTTGGAGAAGAGGTTTCGGAAAGTGGGGTAAGTCTGACTTTTTCTCAGTTCTACATCAGGATATAAGGGAAAAAAACTGATTTGTTGCATGTCATGAACTGAGGTGTGCTTCTGTCCTGACCACACCCTAGGTTGCTAGAAGACCACCACTCCTGCTATGACATCCACCATATGTTTGGACCAGGTCTGACCAGTGAAGAGCAGGAGGTCAGGTAGGGTTTGCAGTACCCCCTGAGTGAACTCTGCCAGCAAAAAGTGAAGTAGCAAATGGCTTGTGATCAGTGAATTGTTGGCATAAAGCTTCATCAACTTCATATAATCCCAGCTCACTTACGGGCATCAAAAGAGATATTCTAAATTGTTCACATCATAGACAAACTTATTAAAAAGAAAAGACTGAAAGAACAATGAAATCAAATAACATTTGATCTTTTCTTTCAGGATTGAACAACAGTTTTCTCTGTGTTGTCTTTTTAATTTTTTTCTCAAAAACATCTTGAGTCATTTCGTAAACATCAGCTTCTTAATCTTCCAAATTTTCAGAGACAAAGACAGTATTATGATTGCATTTTACTTTAAAGAACAGCCCTTGAAGATGAGGATTTTATGTCATTCACTGTATTTGCATCAGACAGTGCCTGATTCATGATAGGAGCTCAACAGATATTTGTGGAAGGAATGAATGAATAAAGAAATGCATTCATGGATCTATTAACAAAATGCCTCTAATATGCCAGGCACGTTGCAAGAGATGTCAAGATAAGTCTTAGTCATTGTCCCAGAGACACTTACTGACTAGTGGAAAAGAGAGAAAAAGAACAGTTGTACAATTGTGAGAATGATATCTCACGGGGCACATAGGTTAAGAATAATAGTAGTAGCATAGGAAATGCTTTTGCTACACATTAACTCACAGTGATCTAGAGTCCTTGTTTTCCTCATCTGTAATTTGAAGTGGTGAACCCTGGTGAGTCTGGAAGAAAACCATTGCAAGCCTTCCCCAGAATTTTAATCATCAGCTTCATCGCCCAATTTTAGGGATATTATCTTGCCTGACTGTCTTTGCAGTCAGACAGAAATACTAATTCTGAAACGAAGAAGCAATTTGATATTAAAATACGAATCCTTGGACTCTCCTCCCACAATTCTGATTTAGTAGATGAAAACTAGGGGTAGTGGTGAGAGAAGAAACTCTGCATATTTATCAGGCACCCCCATAATTCTTATGCACCCAAGTCTGAGAATTATTGATCTGTTGTTTTTAACTTTTCTCTTTGGCTGAATGCTATGGAAAAATGAAGCAAGCATCTATGACAGTATTGCAAAATGCCTTAGAAATGGTATCATTATATAAGATTTCAGATGCAATGATTAATATATTGAAATACAAAAAGTTTTCAAAGTCACTAAAACATATGGGTTTAATAGCATTGAGCACAAGACTTTAAAAGATTGATCTAGGGCATTTAGGAAATCTAGTTGATAAATGTAGATATACCGTACAGAAAACCATTTCTGCAGAAAGATTTCCATCAGTGCAGCCACCTCACAGGTCCCTATTTATCAAGTCCAGGCTTTAATAAACATCATACATAATTAAATTTAAATCTAGTCCACACAATAAAGAACTTGACAATCTAATAAACAAGACAGAGAGTATAGTTTTCTGAATATGAAGAATGGAGGAGATAATCTACTTATAAACATATGGACATATTTTATTTTATGGGCTTATCTGTTTGGAGGGTAAAGACAGTAAATAGAATGTGGAGCATTTTCCTCCTAAATTTTCCCCTCATTTTTTTAGTGTAAAAATAACCCTTTAAAAAATAATAAATCTGACTGGCTGAGTGATACTGATTTCCTTGAGCTTGCTTGCACAAAAAGTAAGGAAATAATATGAGAAAAAAAGAAAGGGAAATACACAAAAATCTCTGATGATGAAATGCCACAGAGTCTAAATACAACCTTCTTTTTAGGCTTCCTAGTAGCCAGGAAAAGAGGGAAAATACACATAGTTCTCACTTTTAAGTAGCAAAAAGCAAACCGGGACATGAGGAGAGATACCTTTACCCTGGAGAGAAATTATCAGAGGCATCAGAAAGCAAGCAGACTATTCCAGGGAGTTTCATGCTCCTAGCTTCTCTCATTCATGAACTCAATGCAACTTTCCCTCTTAGAACCTGTTCTAGACAGGTCCATAGATACTTGAGGTAGTTCTCTTATCTCATGGAAACAGGGCCCTATGGAAAAAACAAACCTACCTCATTCCCCATCTATCCCATAGTCTTCCTATTAGGACAGTTTTCAAAGTGATCATCTCTTCATCTTCTGTTTACTCAGCCCACCCTCTTCTTGCCTCCTTTGTGTAATCTCCTAAAAAGACAAACGGAACTTCCTGGCGACAGGGAAAGCAGGCACCTCGTGACAAACCACCTTGTTGGTGACCCAGCTCTCTGGAAGAACAGAGCTTGGATGGGTAGAGTTTGTCCATTTCTGTAATGGGACTACTCTCACCATGGCTCATTTCAAGCCTTCGGTAGGACATCACTGAATGTGGAGCTGGAAAGAGATGCTTACCATAGGATCAGTGATTGTGCAGGGCCAACCTTAATTCTCAACCTTTGTCATACCACTGGGCAAAAAGGCTAGTACCGGAGGAAAGAGATTCCTTTAATGCTCAGCTCCAAGCTGGTGGAGCTTTCCAGGAGAAGAGACAATATTGGAACAGAAAAAGAAGAATCAAGAAGGAGGTGGGGGAGAAAGAGATTAGGGCTGCTTTGAGACCCTCCTCATCTACTCCTCAGGTGTTGTGGGCAGCAAAAGTCAGAAAAGACATCATGCTTTTATACATGACCTTTATCCCCTTTGAAAGTCCCCTCCCTAGAATACACCCCAGTTGTAAACAGTTGTCCACCTGGTCAGTACTTAGGAAGGAGGAAGAAAGGATTGGTTGGAGTAGAAGAGCGAGGCAATGTTTAGTATTCTGTTAGAAGTTAATAAATTACTTAACATATGACAGTTTTAATATGGCATTTAATACACATTAAATGAATGATAGAAATCAACATTCTCATTTAAATACATTATATTTGTAATACCCTTGGATCTATGAGTCTGGGTCCACTCAAAATATAAAATCACTCAACTTCAATGCCTTGTTTAGAGCAAAGGCCTATTGTGACCCCAGTAAGCTTAACTCCTGGGGAGATCCTGCCTGGGTTTTCTCCACCCCCACCTCCATCCCATGCCCTCCTGGTCCTCTGCTTCCAGATCTTCATGCCTGGGAATTTTTAATATCTCTGTAAATCAGCTTCCTAAAAATCCCAGAGTTCACAGAAGTGTGTCATGGCATAGCATTAACTGTTTGGAAAACTACAAGTTTCCTTTCTACTCTTACCCAAATGGAAGCAGAGGAGTCATGTGTAGTTTAAAAAGCTCACCAATGATTCCAACACAGCCCTTCTCCTGTGAGGATCACTCTAGTCCTCACCATCCAAAAGTGTCCAGCACACAACATATTCTCAACAAGTATTTATTTGGTTTATAAATTGATAATGAATGAATGAATGAATGAATGAATGAATGAATACTCAGACTTAAAAAGACATAAACCATCTCTAAAAGAAAGTATTCCTATTAATTTACATTTGGTTTTTCATAAATAAATACATTTCAGCAGATTTACTAATATCTCACGATTGCAGGAAACTTCAGTGATCCTTCAAGTCTAGCCCACAGCTGGTGTAGAAATTCTCTTCATAACTGTCCTGTTAAAAATTCTTCAGACTCTTTTGTAGAGGAATCTTCTACCTCCAAAGCAACTAACTGTTCCCATAATGAATAGTTCTGAATGTTAGGCAAGTCTACTTAGTTTTATTGAGCCTGTTTAGTACTGTAAGGCTTCCTGGAATAATTCTCTGGCCTCTTTTCTCTGCCAGCTCATCAGATTTTAAAAGTCAGGGCATGGAATCTGCTTTGTTCCTTGGAACTTTCCTTGGGGGACCCAACTTCAAGCCTCATGTTCCTTCTGGTTGCTCAGCCATGGGTCACTGTCCCTGAAAGTTCTGTTTGTCTTGTGCCGAGACGGAGATGAGTATGCAATCCCTAAACACACACTACTTTAGGCAAGAGACACTGGAAAAGATGAAGCTGCAAGGGGCATGCCTGGCTGTGATTCAAACATGGTCCAGATAAGCACTGAAGGGGGTAATCTGCAGGCGAGTATTTGTCCTCTGGTCTCCGTCCTCAGCCCTGGGCTTCTCCCTCTAGTGACATCAGAAACCATCTCAGCACACAGAGATGGAGGTGCATTGGGCCCTTGGCTTGTTCCTCTCTAAGCTGCCTTTCCCCAGCCTGTGCGCTGCGGTTCTGTGAACTGCTAGGGGAGAGAGTGTTCCAGACATGGGTCACAAAGGCCCCCACAGATTAAGTCCAATATTTAGGGAGCATTCTCTTGTGTTAGACACTGTGCCCCTAGATGCTAGCAAACCAGAATTGGAAAAGCCCCACCCCTAAATTGAAGAGTATCTAGGAAATTTAAGGGGAAGAACATGTAACAACTCAAAGAAGTACATGCTGTTATCAAGGAAAGAAGTATTATTTGGAGGACAGGAAAATACAATTAATTGTGCCTAAGGGAGAAGGGAAGACTTCAAAGATAGCTGCTATTTATTGAGAACTGGCCATGTACTAGGCACTTATGCTAAATGCTTTACATGTTTATCTCACATGTTATTTTTATTTTTATCCTCACCCGAGGACATTTTTCCATTTTTTTGTTCAGATAGAGTGGGAGGGAGAGAGAGAGAGAGAGAAACATCAAGGTGAAAGAAACACATCGAGTGGCTGTCAACCGCACAACCAACCAGGGCCGGGGACAAACTGCAGCTGAGGTATGTGCCCTTAGTGGGAACTGAACCCGGGTCTCTCTGGACTGCAGGCCGATGCTCTAATCGCTGAGCCAAACCAGCCAGGGCTCTCACATGTTATTGATAGCAATTTTATTAGATATACATATCAAACCCATTTCACACATAAGGAACCAAGGTTCACTCCTCATTCATCTAGTCATTCATTCGACAAATAATTCTTGAACGTGCTGTTGTGTTTTATGCATTCAGCATCTGTCAGTGACCTCTAGAAACTTACACTGTAGTGGAGGATATAGTCTATTGTTTACGTGCTTATTAACATGTAAAAATGTAAGATGTAATTTTATGGATTATCAAATGCACTTTAAAGAAAAATGAGATAGGTTAAGGTGATACAGGGAATCTGATTTGGGGGTTGGGGTAGTTATTTTAAATAGAATTATTAGGGAAGGTTCCACTAAGGAGGTGTTATCTGAACAGTAACTTGAATGAAATGAGAAAGTGATCCATGTAAGGATGTGGGTGAAACTGGTTTCATGTATAGGAAGCCGTAAGTACAAAGGTTTAACTGGAATCAAACCCAGGTCTGTTCAATCTTGCATTTTTCAACCACTAGGCTCTATTGTCAAATTTGGCTCTCAAAGGCTGAGAAGGCATCTACAAAGTGAAAAATGTGGAAAGGGCATTCTAAGCAGAGAGAGAGAGAATAAGAGAAGACCAAGTTCAGGATCCTGAGAAGTTCTGATCCTTGGCCAACAACAGGTTATTTCCATTGATCCTGGAACAAAATCCTGAGCACCAAAGTGACTTGAGTTATGGTCTCTTCCCAGTGTGAGGTTTAGGGACTTGTAAAGTTAAACAGCAACACATGCAATTTGACCTCTCTGCTTCCCAACATCCCTGAACCTCAGTGTTTTTGTGGAATGGAGTGAGACGGCCTTGATTGGGTTCTCTCTGCAAGTAATAATTGCACTTGGAGCAACAAGGCTTAGAAGTCAGACAGGCTTGGGCTTACTCCTGCTTATACTTTAGACCAAAGATCCATCCTGCAGACTTTGACCTCTGGTACCTTCTGAGACAGAGTGAAGCGAGGCTTGGCTTCTTGCTACCTGTGAGATTCTCTAAAAATTACTTAGTTTTTCTGAACTTCAGTTGTCTTTAAATAAAGATGATAATATGACATCTCATGGGATTATGGGATGATTAAAGGAGATAATGTATAAAAGACTCACTGCAGTTTCTGATACTGTCATCTCTGCTTAAAAGTCACATTGCCATGATCAATGTTTGATTTATGCCCCTTTGACAGAATATGTACACTGAATGGTTTTCCCTTTGGCAAAATGGGGATATTTGCCCTTTTCTTTGGACTACTGTTGAGAATCAAATGAGAGACTCTTTTGTAAGAGCTTTGTAAATTGTAAAATGCTATATATACATGAGGGCTTCTTTTTGAAATGTACATATGTGTGGAACCACAAGGTGTTAGTCATGAAGACCATATATGATCTTCCAATTTGTTGGCTCAATCATTCATGTCTTTGTCGAGTTCATATACTAAGAGCCTGTCCTAGGTTCTGAAGAGACCAAGGTAAGATAGACATGATCTCTAACATCAAGAGCAGTCTGGAATGCCTCAACATTCTAGGAACATTTTCATATATGTGTGTGGTGTGTGTGTGTTTTAGCTATTCTTAGAGCATAATCCCATTATTTTAAAAATAACTCAGAATACCTTTTTAACTTCATTTGTCTCTTGAATTGTACTGTTCTTAAGATATTTTTTAACAAGGAAAACAGCTTTGCTCATCATGTACTGACTTTTATTATAAAAGTGTACTTGTATTTTAGGATTTACACATTCATTTGTAATTGAAAGCATAAAATCTCCAAAAGGTAGAGAAGTGACTTCTGTTTAGTGTGGCCTGTATTCACTTATTCTTGAGTTTGGAGGTATGACGCTAATAGATGATCAATCTCCTACAGAAGACTAGTGTGTGGGCCCAATGCCATTGAGGTTGAAATCCAACCCGTATGGAAGCTGCTTGTTAAACAGGTAACTAACTTTTGTTTTCTTTTGGGGAAAAAAAATACAAAACTCCCATTCTTTACTTTATTTATATATATAAATGAATTTATTTTAAGGAGTTGGTTTACAACTGTGGGAGCTTGCAAACCTGAAGTCTGTAGGGCAGGTAGCTGTCCAGAAGCTGAGGCAAGAGGTGATGTTGCAGTCTGTCCTCTGAACCGTGTAGGGCAGTTGGTGGGCTGGAAATGCAGGCGGGATTTCTACATTACAGTCTTAAGGTGGAATTCCTTCTCCTCTTGGAAATCTTAGTTTTTGCCCTTAAGGTCTTCAACTAATTTGATGCGGCCCATCCACATCATCAGGGGCAATCTCTTATACTTAAAGCCAACTGATTGTAAAGATTAATCACATGTACAAAATATCTTTACAGCAACATCTAGTCTAGTGTTTGACCAAAACGAGCACCACAGCCTAGCCAAATTTACACATACAATGAACGGTAACAATAACTTTTTTTAAAAAAAATTTCTTTTAAGCAACTTACTTTGACTGTCTTTCCAAATGTTCAATTCTGTCTCTTCTTACCCCATCCTTTGCTTTTTGTTTTCTGCTACTCAGGTAAATCTTAAGCAAGATCTGGGTACTTCAATGTGAACAAAATCTGTGTCTTATGCAAATTCTTCCTGTTATTCCCCTCATTGCCTTTAGTCTATGCTTTTCTTATCTAGTGAGTTTTCCTTTTAAAAAATATTTTAATAAATATATTTTTGTTCCAAGATTTCTAACTGGTCCTTTTCGATAATCACTTGTTTTAAATTCAATTCCACTTAAGAAAATGTATCTTCCCAGTGTGAAGGAAGAGTCCTGTTTCATAATCTCTAGTTTGTTTTCTTACATTTTTTGATGGTGATTATGGTGGGGGGGGGCAATGTTATGATTTTGATGATGTCTTTGAAGATTTTAGATGTATTTTTTGGTCTTTTTATATTGCTCTGCTATTCCCATATCCTGAAAATGACTTCTTCCTATTAGCAGGTTTTTGTTTATTTCTTTGTTTGACTTGAGTGTATTTTCTTTGTGTGCTTTGAAGTTATTTTATCTTTTTGGTAAACCCACCTCAAGTGGCATTTTTACCCTTTTGTTTTTGTCTTTTTTTCTGTGCTCACTCTCCCTCTTTAACAGCTTTGTGTTTGCCTCTTACTGGTCCTCTCAGGTCCCCAGTTCAGAACCAGGGCCTACACTGGAGGTCTGGGCTCTGTCCCTCGGGGATCTGTTAGATGCAGGCGCTGAGCCAGGCTGGGGCTTGGACAAGTTCACAGTCGCACAACGAGCTCTGTTCTCTCCGACTTCTCTTTCCGCTGGTGAACCGCTGCTTGCTGTGACTTTTCTCAGCCTCTGCTCTTGGGCAGGGGGACCCCACTGCTACCTCTGTTTTCCTCCACAAGTTTGGGTTTTGTCCCTTGCCCCTTATGGGTCCCACTAGGACCGAGCTCCTGTCTGTCTCTCTTCTGTGCTTGTCTGGAACTCAGTGGGCTGACTACGTAAGTCCACACTCAGCTGTATGTTTCGAGTCTACATCTAATCCACAAAGATGGTCATTTTATTTTTGAGCATCCTCATATCTTTTATAAAATTAATTTGTTATTAGACTTTTTTCCTTAGGTTCACAGCAAAATGGAGTGGAAGGTACAGAGATTTCCCACAAAACCCATGTCACCACATATGCACAATCCCTGCCATTCTGGGGAAGAGCAGACTGCTTTTTAAACTTCTTATTCAAGTACATTTTCAAATTGCCAAAGACTCTCCCAGGTGTCAATGGTCTATTTTGAAAGGAGTGCTAGTATTTTCTGGCACTTACTAACAGGAGTTTGGTAGGAAAAAAAAGCAAGTAAAACTGTTTTTTCACATTTGGTTTCAAGAGAATATTGAATAAGGGAACTACATTAATTATGATCATGTTGTTTCTTCTACAAGAAGTATTTAACCAATTTTCTTTTTTTTTTTCTCTTTTTTTATCCTTACCCGAGGACATTTTTCCATTTTTTTGTTCAGATAGAGTGGGAGGGAGAGAGAGAGAGAAAGAAACATCAGCGTTGTCACCCACATGACCCAACCAGGGCTGGGGACAAACTGCAACCGAGGTACATGCCGTTAGCGGGAACCAAACCCGGGTCTCTCCGGACTGCAGGCTGACGCTCTAACCGCTGAGCCAAACCGGCCATGGCAGTATTTAACCAATTTTTCTACTGAGTTTGTATAAACTGGAAATCGTGTTATCATGAGTGCATAATCTACAATTAGAACATTTTATGCCAAGCAACCAGAAAAGCTGTAATTTGTAAGAAAAGCACCGTGCAATGGAAATAAAAACTGTTAAGGAACAAAGACTTTTTGAATATAAAAAATATATCTAAGGGTTTAAGAAACTCTTAAGATACAGCATATTAGCTTCTTAACCAGGTATCTGTTCATTTTTAGGACTAAAGTAGAAATGTATTTAATATATTAGAGGATTATAGAAAGCAGAGGTGAGAAAGAATGGCACTGGTTTGAGGTATTTCGTATAATTTATAATCACCATAAAGAGCACTTCTCCAGGAACAGAATCCTGGCTTTCCTCTTTAATTCTCACTACCTGTGTATGCCACGTGACCTCGCTCCACTCCATCGGATTGCCGTCTCTGCCTCCACTATTAATAGGGAAGCCAGCAGGACCAACATGGAGGAAATGAGAGAATTTAAAAAGTTCAAGGTATTATCAAAATATGCCTGCATGGATAACTAGCTTTGGGGCTGGCAATACATTCTACCCAAGCTTTTTACTGCAGACTTGGATGAGACTTTTCACTGTTCAGGGAAAGGTGTGTGATGACTTGATTGGCTCTCAGAGGATCTTGCTAAGACCTGCGACATAAGAGTATGTTCTTCATATAAATAACCTGAATGAAAAAAGGATCTTTCCTTTTCATTGCACAACATGACGGAATCTATAGCATGTGATCAATTGGGGGAGGGGGACTGCAGTAAAAATGTTTAAAATTAGTTTGTTTTAAAAAGAGACTAAATCATGTTTCTCCACCACTGTGGGTAAATCTGTGTAATAAGGTAAATTGCTGACTTTTGTTACTGGTAATACATTTTTGAAAATTCAAAATAATAAAAATGATCAATTTGTTGCCATGCCGTTCGGTGCTTAAAATAATTTTATTTCCGCCATATTCCATTTTATGTGCTTGACGTTGTCTCCACCAAAATTATTGAAGTTCTAAGGGCATTCTTAAATATTAGAGGTTATTGGATGTTGTAAATAATGGGAAATTTCATTCTATAAAGAAATGACATCATTTTGACTACAAGTGACCTAAATGCTACTTTTGTATCTGCAGGTTTTAAATCCATTTTATGTGTTCCAAGTCTTTACCTTAACTCTGTGGCTGTCTCACGGTTACATAGAATATTCAGTGGCCATCATCATCTTGTCTATTATCTCCATTGTCTTAAGTGTATATGATTTGCGACAGGTAAGAGCTGAAATCACAGTTGGGTTCTATTTAGTTTCTGACTATATGAGAAGCAAAATCCATGAAATTTCCATTGACAGCAAGGGCTTGCTTTGTTAAACATATGTCAAAACAAAGCAAAAAGCAAGGACTTACTAAATGTGAGCTCTCAGGAGGAGGGCTTCAGGAATACTAGGTAGATTTAAATGTCTTTGGAAACTCTGACTATCGACTGACGGCTGCAATGAATACTACATTTAGAAGGACTCCGAGGCGGTGTCTGGATATTATGGGAAAGAATGCTGTAATGGATTAATGAGGCCAGCCATAGTTTTAGAAAGAGAATAATTGGCAGCATCCTAACCACGCACTTTTAGTAAAGACTGCTTCAAGTTTGTAGTGACAGAAACCCAACTTGAGCTAAATTAAGCAACTCATAAAAGCCATTTTAGGGGTGTTTGTATTTGGGCATGGATAAATCCAATGAACAGGCATCTCAAACAATGACAAGGAATCTGTTTCTCTTTATCTCTCCACCCTGCCTTACCAGAGTGCTACTCAAAGGATAGTCTGTGGACTGGTTGTAGTCTGCAAACTATTCATTATCTGTTTGTGATTCAGTAAGTACTACTGAACTTGAGAGTAGGCATTTATGAATTTTTATAGTAATATGATATTATCCCAACATTCAAGCATGGGATCATTTTTCCATAAATCATGGTTTGAGAAATTATGTTTTACTATATGTGGTCTTTACACCCAGACAGAGACTCTTCATACAGTGGCAAAGATGGGCCATAGCAGCCTCAGGTGTACACTCACTTCAGGGCTCATGATCACAGATGAAGAGAGAGATGTACTTTACTAATGTCCATGTCAATAGCCCCCAAAGACGCTGGCTGGGACAGCTGGAAGCAGAAGATGGCAGTGTCACCTGCTTTCATCTGCCTCCAAACTCTCTTTCTCTGAGCTCTTTTAATTGGTATTTCAATCTATATTCCTTCCTGTTGTAAGACAGGCTATTTCCCTTTGTGACGGAAAGTTCTCCCATTGTGGACTCCAATGGAGTTTTGTTTCCCATGTAAGCACATTCTCAATCAGAACATGGTTTTTAAGAGCTTCGTATTTTCCTTCCCCCACGAAGCCCCTTTCTGGCTAATTCCTAGATTCCTGTGTAGTGCAACCCCTTCTCATTGGTGATAGTGAGCTCATAGTTTCTAACCTCTCCCTCTCTCTTACCATCTTTATTCATCTTATAGCCGTTTAAAATCTTCCTTTGTCTTATAAATGACATACCATCACATTCTGAAATAGTATTCAGCTGAATATTACTGATAACTCCAGAGTCTCTCTAAGTCTCAGATATCTATAGCATCTTTCCAGACACCTCAAAGGAATGTCTAGAAGTATTTGTTGTACACTTTTTGAAAGCCTGACAGCGGATTTAGCTTTGGGAGATGATGAGCAATGGTTCTTGTGTCAGTGTGTCCACTCTGTTGACCTGTTGAAACCATTCTGTCTCCAACTGGAGTCTTCACTGAGAGAAGAGGGAACCAAGAAACAGGGAGCTTGTTCCAGATCATGAAGTGGGTTGGTGACAGACGGAGAGCAGCTGGCTTCTCCTAAGCTGAGATTCGACTGCACGTGCATTCTTCCCTGAGCCGAAAGCCCTTTGCAGAGGAGCCACGCTGGGGATGCAGCCAAGCATGAGCGTGAGAGGAGAGACGATTCTAGCTGCCGGCAGAGTGAGCTCTGGCCAGGTGTCAGTGAGGTGGACGTGGAGACATTTAAACAAGCCTAGTGGAAAACTCTAGGAAAACCCACTCTATTTCAGTCACTCAGCAAATATTACAGCTAATGTTGGCTTTTTATCTGGTGTCGGATGCTACACATTTTGAGTTATTAAGGATTTAATGAGAAATAAGAAATAAGAGAAAGGCAATATGTATGTAAAGTGTTAAAAAAAAAACAAAAAAAAACAGGACCTAAGAATGAAAGGTTAAAGGAACGAAGCTATTTGGAGCTACAAAGTGAGGGCTAGAAGGGCTTTGCTTTGATGATCTATTTGTTTGTATTTTGTTTATTTCTTATTTTGTATGAGTAACTGAGTGTTTTTCTTCATGAACTAATTTAGATCACAAAAATATTAACAGTGACCAATAATCTCCCTTGGATGTTTACAAATTCTTTCTGTCTGTCAAGTCGGGGCAGAGTGACTGTCCTGGTAAACTGAGCATTTGAGTAAAGCATAAAAATGGGCACCAGGACAATAAAAGACTGGGACACATTCTGCTCAGCCAGAGTTGGAAATTATAGTGTCCCAAACGTTTACCTTTGTCGTTTGATAAAGGTACATAATATGAAGCCCCCAAATCAAATTTCTAGTTCCTGGTTTTTGAGAACTCTTTGCTTGAATAGAATATCACTCATATGCTTTCTGGCTTAAGTCAAACATCAGTGAATGCAGTTCTTCCCTCATGTGCTTCATCCTGCTGGGAAGACATCTACACACCAGCAACAGAACATATGATCATAAACCATCTCAGGGTTCTGAGAAAAATTACAGAACACACTGAGGACTTTTAGCTGAGGGAGATCTTCTCTAATCAAGTTAAAAATCCTCCTCCCTTTACTGCCCCCAATTCATGCTACTTGACACTGTTTGTTACTTGACACTTTATTAATCAGCTTCCTTATCTATAATGGGTATGTGTGTGTGTGTGTGTGTGTGTGTGTGTGTGTGTGTGAAATAAGGACTCTGAAGTATTTATATTCCCGGTACATTGTGGGTACTCACCAAATATTAGTTCTTGTTATCACTGATGTTGCTGTTTTTATTACTATTTCTGGAGTGGAGAAAGTAAGTGATGGGAAGGGGAGGGCACAGAGATCGAAGGGAGAGCCCCGTACATAACTGGAACAAGGAAGCAGCTCGGGAGCTTGCTGCACAGTGTTTCTAATGGCCAGGGACCCATTCGTTGTGTGACCCGGGGGACTCTCTTCTCCCCAGGCTCAATTTTCTCAGCTGTCAATGGTGGAGCCTAAACTCTGTTTTTTCATAGGGTTCCACTTCTTTTTTTATCCTCATCCAAGGATATTTTTCCATTTATCTTCAGATAGAGTGAGAGGGAGAGAGGGAGGGAGGAAGGGAGAGAGAGAAAGAGAGAGAGAGAAAGAGAGAGAAATAGCGAGAGACAGAGAGAAACATCAATGTGAGAGAGACAATTGATTGCCTCTCACGTGAACCTGACCAGGGCCAGAGACTGAACCACAGCTGAGGTACGTGCCCTTGACCAGAATCGAACCCGTGACTCTTTGGTCTGCAGGCCAGTGCTCCAGCCACTGAGTCAAACCAACCAAGGACCCCACTTCTTTAGGGTTCTATCATTTTGCCACAGCCACCAATAAGGAATGCAAAAAAACAAAAAAAAAATAAAATAAAAAACAGAGCATGTGTTACAAACTCCTATAGGATGCTGTTAGATGTTGGACTGACTATCCAGATAAACTACCCTATCAGGATTTGTGCCCACAATAGGACTCTATTTAAACCACCTTAATCACAAAAGGGATATATATTATAAATATGCATTAGTAGCTCATGGAACCCCAGAACGTAAAATACAGAGGGTCTTTCCCAGGGGCTGAACCCAAGAACTGGGGTTACTCTCCCCAGCCTCTTAGTCTCCGACAGAGATACAGTGAGCTGCACATGTTTTGGGGAAAGTGCTCCACCTTCATTCCTCTTCTCTGAAAACTGAGCGCACCCGAGCTGTGGCTGCCTGCAGCCGGTTTGTTCCATGTGGCTCTGTGCCTCCACTGCCACAGTCCATTGGTACCAGAAGCACTTGACCCAGCATCATCTAACCCATCAACAGGGGCGATTCTAACTTATCTTTTGGCCTGAGATCTTAAAATAAAGGCTTAAAGCTGCTCATACTCTGTTAGAAACACAATCTGAGAAACAACATACAGCCAGGACCAGGGTTGCCACACTTGATTCCTGTGTATGGACAAGCAGAGAACAAATGCTGGCAGAGAAGGAGAGCAGAAGAACAAACCACATACGCAGTGAGACGCAGGTGAGCAATGCACAGTCCCGCACGGGCAGAAAGAGTAACCTGTTCCTCACGGCATTTCCCGTTCCTATTGAGACCGAGGGAGACTTGGCTGCACGTCCCACCTTAGGTTCATAAGACATCCCTGCATCCTCACAAATTCTCATGTTCTGCTTAAACCAGAGCAACACATTTCTGTTACCTACAATCAATGAATTCCAACTAAATAGGTTGTTATGTCCCCTGGAAAGTTTTCACAGGTTTCCCCTAACTTAAATACTGTCTTGGTCCCACACACTTCTCGTCTCGGTGTTTATGACAAATTTCACTCTCTCTTTTAAAATCCTTTAACGCTGTCTATTTCTTCATTTGGAACTCAGGTCTACTTTTCTTTAAGGAAACCCAAAAGAAATATAGGAATTTATGTGTAAGAGTTAGGAGAAGGGTTGTAGAAAAGATAGGTTGGATTCTATACTCTAGGAGCCCATGTTTCAGTGAGAGAATTACTCAGATTTTCCTGGGTGCTTGACCTATTAAATCAAAATATCCAGACTAATAAAAGGAATCTGAACTTTTTAACTCTTTCCTAACAGGTGACTATTATATATTCTAAAGGCTTAAGAGCTATGGTTTTAGGGGAATCCATCAAAGGACAAATTCAAGTACTACGATCTCAAATATATTTATTTATTTATTCATCCATCAGCTGAACATATTTCTTCATTCTTTTTACTCTGTGAAATACACAGAAATACAAGTTTATGTGGAGATTTATGTATGTACTTATTAATTCATTTTAATAGAGAAGGATCTTACTATGGACATTAATCTGGAACTTGCATTTTTCACTTTATAATATATAAAATGACCATTCACCAAGTAAGCAAATACATCTAGATCTTATTTAAACATAAGGATGTGATATTCCATGGTACCATACTATAATTTACTCAACCATTCTAT